GTCACGAAAGCAGCGGCGACACATATTTTTGATTTCGGGTGGTCTGCATGACTGCCGGTGACTGCATCACGTCGAAATTTCTATGGGAATTCGATTTGACCTTTCCCACCGATGTGAAACTTTCTCACCGATGTTTTCTAGGTGTGAGATTGCTATAATATTGATATTTTCCCGCAAATATGGTCAAGCGTGGGAGTTTTTTTGGCCCTCGTGACTTGGTCGGCGAAGGGTAGGCGTGGAGGGTAACCCCATCTCCTAGGGGTTTGTGGGGCGCTGCTGCCAGATAGGCGTCAATGAATACCTTTCGATGGAGGGGTCGTGAGCCACTGGTGCGCGAATAGTCGTGGAGGGTTACTACTCTCCAGAGTGAATTGCGAACGTGTTATGTCCTAAATTGACTCCTGGGAGGGTGGTTAAAAATGGTTGCGGATAGGGGTACCCGCGAGGCACCGGTTTACTCGCCAGTTTTGGGTGAAATTGTTTTCAGTGCTGGTACGTGCCCCACGGCTGTCGTGGGACAGCGGTTGGTTCGCCGGAGCCTGTGGAGCTGTATCCTGCGGCTCGTGGGTCTCCGGAGAGGACCTTGGGGATACAACCTTCATGTCCGCCGTCTCAGCGCCCCAGGCTGATGGGGCGGCTGCCACATGAGGCAGTTTTTCATCAGATTAACGGCGGGGTAGTTAATCACATGGCTCACAAACTGGTACTGTCAGGTGGTGTTACTTCTCCTCTGATAGCGCCGGTAACGTAATAGGCTGTATAACGGGCTCAGTAAATCATGTCCACGTAATGTGACGACCCATTTGTAAAACATGCCGGTTGTTGAGCTGCTGATAAACTCTGAGGCATTTAACCCGACAGTATTTGATAGTGAGGTCATGAGACCTCGTCTTCACGGCCGGCATCTCATGAAAACTATCCGCGAGTTATCACTCACATGACCTTTCATCAGAACGTTTTTCGTGCTTCTGCGTCCACTGTTATGTTGAGTTCAAAGCTGAGGAGCCGATGCAGCGGTAGCGCTACACCTCATGCCATTTTTGTTCGTAGCGACGTCCGCATCCATCGCTCGCTTCCTCAGCGCATATATATTTTGTTTGATCTCCTGGCAGCGGCCAAGCACCTCTCGATCTGAAGTGCCCGCTAAGCTACCGGTGTCGCCGATATCTCATCAGCTCTTTCAGCCGTTATCTGCCATTCTCCTGCACTTATCCGCAGGCGGTATCTACCTCCGGCTCTGATATCTCAGTGTTGTGCTCAAACTCATCCTGCCATCACATTGCATCCATCGCAACAGTCTCCAGTAACTCGAGTAACTCTCCATGAACATCCATCGCAACAGCTCCTCCAGTAACTTCACTGATTCCCACAGGCATATAACCTGATGACTACACTGGGGTCGGTGCTATCGCTGAGTGAAATGACGCTGCAAAACGGAACTCCTCAATCGGGTCGACTAACAATGCGCTAGCTGCCGCCGCCGTCCGCCCACTTCACCTTATCACCCACTAACGACGCTTGTACACTTCTTCAGTCATCCTCCCGTCCGTGACATTTTAATTTGGCGGTCTGTTTGTAGAGATCCTGCAAGGCGGCCACTCTTTGTGCCATTCTGCTGCATTAAATTGCATTGTGCTATAATTGCAGGACCATCCGTCCGCTGGCACCCCTCCCTCCCTGCGCAATACGGCCTCCCGACAGCACCCATTCCTCCCTTCCCGTGCAGTGCTCTTCCGACCGACATGACCAGTCGTCCGGCGCCGCGCCGGAAGTCACGCTACTGGCCGGTACCGTGGGTACGTTCCGGCACGCGCCGACCGGATACATCGCCCTCGGGCCCGGCAGCGGCGGCGGCCGAGTGCCGGTGTTGCAGACTTGGGAACCACCCCCGGGAGCATACGGCACCGCGCCGTCCGCTGCCGCCGCCGCGGGCACTGCCGGGACCTGCGGCGGTGACTGGTGGTTTTACTGCGGCCGTGGGTGTGGTAGGTTTCCTTCCGTGGACTGCCCGCACGGTAGCAGTGGAATGAGCAGCATGTGGCCAATTAGCGGTGGCGTAGTGGGTTCAATATTAATCAGACGCCGACTGTGGGGATGGTCAGGTGATGCGGCGGAGGGTGGTGGTTGCATACACTATTTCCACCGGTCTATAGGTGTGATTTGTGCTGTACCGGTAACATTTTACTGAAAGGCAGCCACTGCAGCCGCTAGGCCTGCTTTGGCATCGAGGTCTCCCTTCGCTTGGTGGCTGGTTGGTTAGTTGTAAGGTGTCTGGACTGCAGGACCGGCGTGGTGCTGATGACCGTCGGCGAATTCCATCTATTGATCAGACGGATCAGTCCCGAACGCTGCGTGCTCCCGGAACTGCGAAATATATCGCCTATCGGCAATCGGACTTGGCGCTCGGATCAATAAGCAGTCAACAGGCGGTGATAAAAACGCATTCATGCCGTTCTCGAATATGGCGGCAGCTGTTTGACGGGCTGTTGGTCTGATCAAATGGTTCCGTGATTGGGTTGGACTTGGTCATACGGTGTAGTCAATCGCACGGATCAACATTGGTATGTGGGGAAGACCGTGGAAGCCAACACTGAGCTGCCCTCCGTGACCTGTCATTAACACGACCGGCTCGATCCAAACCGTCCTGGCTCTGCCAGTTGTATGTATCTGCACCACCAGAGCCGAGCTTTTCCGTATTTTATTGTCTTGACCTGACGCCCTGAGGAGTACCTCCACCGAGACCATCTGTCCCGGTCTCCCTATCGCTCATCTCCAGTCGAGGCACCTTTGACGGATAGCCGGCACCTCCGCCGCCCTGACCCGCCGCCCGGCACATCTCCCGAGACCCAGCGATCGTCTGCCGCCGTCAGCCGTCCGTGTGACCCGCCCGAGGCTCTAACGGTGTCCGTCTCCGGCCACGCAGCTCCCTCTCTCCGCGGCAGAGCCGTGGAACCGGCACGCGCAATGCGGGCTGACGCCATGGTCATGTGTGTGTGTGTGTTGTTTTTGTGTGCTTTTGTGTGCGTTATGAGACTGTTCGCCCGTCGCTGTCCAGTGTCCACCGTCACCCGTGGTACATGTGAATTGTGAACTGACCCGGACCGACCGATGACGTCCGTCTGACCAACTACACACCACTCTACACCTTCCCACTCTGTCCAACACCACTGACTGCTGCTTCTGACCACTGACCACTGCCTAGTGACTAGTGATGTCTGACCACTGACCACGGCTCACCGAATGTTTGACGTAAACCACCGAACCAGAAACCACCCTACCGCCACCCGTTCCGTACTCACTCTGACCACTGACTGGGCTGGTTAGCAATCAGTTATGATTACACTACCAGCTACCTATCGGCGTGCCTCGCCAGCGGGCTATCTGAGGTGCCGTTTCAGCCTATCTAATCTCTGCACGGCGGTCAGCCGGTGGAATTTAGCAGCAGTCGCACCCCTGGCCGCTGCCGGTGACACGCCAGTTCTCTGTGACGGGAGGACGCGGCGCTGTCCGTCCCCGTCGGTCTATCTACCCGTGGGGTGGTGGTGTGGAGGTGGTGGCTCTTCCTCTCCGCTCGATGTAAGTGTTTGTTGTCCTACCTCGCTGGATCGCGCTGCTAGGGGAGGTGCTTTTCTGCTCTTTGCCTGCTCGATGCTAATCTGCTACCGCTTCGCTCATAAGCTAGATTGTTTTTTTTCTGATTTCTACTAACCTCTGGTTCGGATGCTTACTGGCCAGAATCTGACAGCAAACAATCGATCTGTCGGGGTATATCCCCCGCCCAAAGAAGGATGTACCTGCTAACCTCCATTTTGTTTTTTTTTTTTTTTGTTTTGTTGGGTTAGGCCCTTTCGGTCTGACAAGACCATTGCAGAGCCGGAAGGATGATAGGAATTAGGGGGAGACATTGGTCTGGGCAGGCACCCTAGTGAGTCGCCGGGGCTGAGCCCGTCCGAAGACAGGCCACCCAGCCCCAAGGCACTCACTGCACCCGGCTACGGGGTGCGCTCCCTCGGGAGCAGCGGTGCCGCTCCAAGGGAGCAGCCCGCATGAGATAAAGTTGCCTGTCCAGCCCGGAGGGGGGTGGCGGTGTGGAGGAGAAGGATTTCAGTATCCTGAGGATAGAAGCATGGAACGGTGCTAACCTCCATGCCAGTGCTGTGACCTCGGTCAATGGTCGTAGCTCTGCAGTGGTAGTGGGGGAGCTAGTGCCACCTCTCAGTGTGACTGTGCCTTGTACCGAACCTGGGGTGTCTCATCCCAATAACCAGGGCTAGAACGCGCCGAAGAGCCGTCAGAAGCATGGGTGCTGACTGCTGAGTGCTTCTGCTGGTACCTGCTGTCGTAGCTATATTTTTAACGTGATAAGATTGCGAGTGCCTAGAAATGAATGCTACAAATAAATAATGTGCCCTTTGCAAGCCGCATATCGCTGTCATGTTTGCATTTGATCGACTACCTGCATACATGCTGTGAATGCCGCCACTACCCGCTTGCCAACGATCACCTATTCGACGCGTGATACGACGGTTTTGCTGTGACTTCTCACATATTTTGGCGCTGCGAAGTTTGATCAGAATCAGCACTCAGCGGAGATGCTCGCTTTTTTACTGCGCTGACTCGCATATTTTGTAAAAGTTCAAAGCTCTATCAACAGCGTGGGAACCGCTTATTCATACACATGTAGAAAGACGGCCTTGTATTTCCGTCAATAATAACAGGAATTTATCCGTCACTTGTCCCAAAGAAATGCATGCACATGGAGCTAATCGGCAATGATTATCTTATTTCTTGTATTTTGACTGAGCAAGTCACTGTTGGTTGAAGTTTCCTTGCTCATGACTGATCACATTTTCCAGCGTGAAGACGGCTGGGGACTGGGGACCACTACCATGTGATTCTAATGCAACCTTCTTCATGCGTTTCTTCCGTGTAGCCCACGGAATTGACTCCCCTGCCCCGTGCTCACGGCCGTGTCTGACCGTGACTCTGTGACTCGGCAGAGGCCGGCGCTGGACTCGGAGGGCGACTCGGACATCAGTTCGGAGGGCAGCAGCGGCGCCAGCTCGCTGCCGCCCAGCCAGATCAGCGGCGGCGCCGGACAGGGACGACACCGCAGCTCCGACAGCTCCGACGGCGACCACGACCACGAGCACGAGCACCACGACAGCGAGCAGCTGGCCGGCGTCAACCTGCGACAGCTGGTCAGTAGCTGGTCAGCGTCAGTACCTGCTGGATCACCGCCGGTCATCGGCTGGGTCAATGCCAGGTTTATCTAGGCTATGGCCCACGGATGGGTCACAGGACAGGCCACCGATCCAATGGGTCACCGCTATGATGATGATGATTTGGGGGTCACCGCTATGGTTACGGGAGTTTGAGGTGATGGAATGTGGAACTGAAGGCAGTCCGTTCTGTAGACGATGCATGCAGTTTGTGTGATTGGTGTCTGCATGAATATTGCGAGTGGATCAAATGAATGTGTGGTAGGCTGGTGCTACTGGTTCTGCATAGTTGCTCTCGTTCTTCGGTGATATATGCGTTCCACATTCACTCGTGTTAAACTGTGTTCCTCGCATGTCTGTGATTTATGCTCATCTGTGGGTGTTTTCTCGACGTTCTGTCCGACTTGCGGTGGCAGCTGTATGGCTGTCGGTGCTCGTATATTCCCCATCTATCTCTGTAGAGATGCATGCTCTGTGGTGGCTGATTTCGCCCGTCTGGCTCTCCCCTCTCTGTCTCTCTCCTCTCACGGCTGGGGCCCTCTCCGGTCGTATGCGGCTCTTGGCTCCCACACCACACCACTCGCGCTCACACAAACCACCGATCTCCCGACTCCCGGCCCGACTTTCGTCAGGCTCTCCGCCACCGACCGGCGCCGGTTGCACCAACATTTTCTCACGTGGCACGCCGGTGAAGGCCTCTCGATCGGGTGCTGGTCGCACGTTCGCGCCCCCGCGCCGTCCACAGTTTGACCTTGGTTTGGTCTCGTGAACCCCCAACCGCCGTGCTCTACTGGGATCGGGGCAGTGTTTGCTCAAGTACCGGATAGTCGCATCAGATGATTAAAAATATTCCGATGCTGTTGTAATGCAATTATTTTTTATCGTGCGCTATGGAAGTGGTATTTATTCATTATTATTTGAAGCAGTATATTTTTATGCGTGAGGATTTTTCTCGGTTACGAATTGCTTTGTCAATGTGTTATTTATTTTGCATTATAAGTGCTGAATGAGAACTGCGCTGGACAACTGTCAACTCGCTCAGAAGAGTAGGTACTAGGTAACAAACAATTCCACAAGTCACGGCTATCGTCGCGCGGAGCCGGATTGTCACCCATACGTCACCCGTTACGCGATCGACGATCAACAGCGCGGCGTACCGGCCCCCTTTCAGCGCTCGAGCTATCTGACGAACGTGAGTGCGCCGAGGCCGAGTCCGCGGACGGTGCTGGGCCCCGCCACCGGCGTGTCCATCAAAAACCTGGTACGTGCCGCCGCCGGAGGGTGACGTTCTGAATTCTGAGTCATAGTTATACGGGGAAGGGTTCTAGGAAAGGGAGAGAGACAGAGAAGTCGACACCTTTCCTGTTGTCCAACGTTTGTATCGTGAGAGTGATTTGTCAAGTTGTGCCATTGTGTCAAGTATGTGCTACCGATTACCCATATCGCCGTCTCAAGCAGCTTCAACCGATGCTTAGCTGTGACAACGTTGCTATACGTCATCGTTTGGGCATGCCACCATCGTGGCCCCCTGTATTCCTGCAGCCTCAGTGTGATAGCTGCCAGTCGTGTATTTGCCTAGCCAGGGTATCCTAAGTGTGGATTACTGTTGTCCGTTGCAGTTATGCGTTATATCGGAGAATGAATGCGTCCCTGTCTTAGTTATCAGGCGGTTGCGATAATATGCCAAGTCCCGGTGTGGTATCAGACCGTGGCATGATAGCGACCCTGTCCTGTTAGTCTACCGTCCAGTAGTACCGCCGTGTCATCCAGGGATGCGGCCCTGCTCCCTTAACTACGACCCCCACGGACTGGAAACTGACCCCTCACTGTGACCGTCCCGCAGAAGAACTCGTATAACGCGCCGCCAACGCCAGCAAAACGCGGATCGAAGGACAGCGGCGATGGCCGTCCGAGAGATCTGTCCAAGATCAACGTCAACATGGCTTCATTGGTGAGTAGCGAGGGTTTGGCTGTGTTTTCACTATGTGTTTAGGTTGCCACCGTGGTTCATTGATCGATTGGAGTGGTGCTTAGCTGCGTCATTCAGCTGTGCCGTGATTGTGCGCAATGACGCACGCTTCAGTTGCATCACATGCGCCGAAGAGAGGAAGACAACAATCAGAGACCAACTCGCGCAAGTAGGGAGTGGTTGAGAGGCGACAAAGTGTCCAATCGCTGTACCGACCTGCTGCGCAATGTCACCATCTTTGCCGTCACCGAACGGCCGCGGGGTTGCGCCATCAGTGAGCTCTGTGTAGCTGCGTTCTTTCGCTCCAGATACGCTGTGTCACCAGTGATAGCGTCACCAAGTACCCCACGGTGCTGCCATCTTCCCCGTCGGGGACACGTCCCCCACATGGCACCTCCCGCCTGTCAATGACGATAGGCGGTCTGCCAGTGACATCTACTGAACGCTGCCGTTTCACCATATCCCAGTCCAAGCGCCGGCTAAGTTTGTTACACGTATAGCACACCTCCGAGTCATACGCAGTACACACCAGTCGGCCGTTGCCCCGTATTGTATGGAATGACCTGCATACCGCCCTCCGGTCCGTCCACCGTCGGTCTGGTGGACATAACGTGACGGGACCGTCACGGACGCGCCGGTGTCACGCGGCGTGACGGCAGTGATGAGACGCGTCGCTGCCGACGACTGTATGCCGTGCTGCCCCGCCGCCGCGGCTGTGACGGGCGGCAGCGCGAGCCGTACCGCTGCATGGTGCAGCGCTGTAGCACGGTGTCTGGGCGTAACGGGGTGGTTCACCGCGGGCACCGTCAGCCCCGGGGCAGACAGACAGTAGCGGGACGGCTGTGGAATCGCTGACAGTGAGTGATCGGTGCCGTCCGCTCAGAGAGACGCGTTAGAAAGATAACGAACTGGACCTCCACTCGGAGAAAGGTGTTAAAGAGACAGCAAACTGAGTGTGTGATGCCAAGGTGAGCTTGACAAGATGTGAGATGATGTGTAGGTTTGTGCTCCAAGTGTGTGCTGCCGTTCTAACCGGTGTCGGTCTCACCTCTGCCGTGTCGTCCGCCCGCAGAAGTCGGTGTATTCCTCCCCGGACAGCCACCCAGCCGCGGCCGTGCAGAAGCCGGCGGCGGCCGACCTGCCGTCGGGCCTGAGCCTGCCGTCCATCCGGGCGGCCTATGTACAGCAGACGACGGCGGGAGCTGGACCGGCGGCCGCCGAGACCAAGCACGCGCCCCCCGTCCGCACCGGAGTCAGCATCGACAAACTGGTCAGTCGACGGAGGAGCTAAGGGAAAAGGTCAGCCGTGCGTATCAGCCGCCGGGGACCTTCGGGAAGGGTCACGCTGTAAACTAGCCAGTCGGCGTAGCCCACGGAAGGGGCCGCAGTAAGTGGCCTGACTGGGTCGAAAGTTCTCAACTATTGTCCTTTTTATGAAAAATTATTTGTGATGTTTCTGAATTGAACGGGTTCTTTTCATGACATCTTATCTGAATGAGTATGGTATAATTAGCTCATGAATTGTTGAGTTTTTGAGTCGTTTTCGTATTTTGATATCGATCAGACTTTTTGCGTTCACTTCCTTCTGCCGCCCCTGATTCATCACGCTGGCTGACCTTGCCCGTCTCACGGACAAGGTTATGCCGACTGCCGGGTCCCTGCTCGATGTTTGCTCTCTATTGGTGATCTCTGATTGATGAGACTCCATAAAGCTGCTGGTATCTGGCGGGCGATCCGGACGAGATACGGGCCTATCTGTCGCCCCCTGTTGAGACTATTAGGGGCGAATTGCCGCTGAATGGGACAGATTGCCTCTGAATTGGACACCGGGGCACCGAATTGCCCATTGTACTGGGAGGTTTGAAGCAGCGCCGGACTTGGGTCGGGGGTTTCAAGGGCATTCAGGCTGAGATAGACAAGTTTTTAGGCGTTGTTCAGTCTTTGGGACTCGTCAATCAAAATTGGCTCATTTACTTTACTTTTGTTTACTTTCTCATCCTCAGTTCACATGACATGTGCTCGCAATCTTTTTTGATACCATTGAGCCTAAGCCGTTTCGTGTCGTAATACATTTTAACGCCATATCAAATATGCTAACATTGTGTTTATTTTTATAAGGCTGTCGGGTCCAAGATGTGCGGGAGGTAAGCTGGTGCCTGCTTTATCGTTTTCAGTGTCGCGACATTCTAATTCAACATTCGGCAAACCCATACAATTTTGAATTTTTGATACACTAATAATTTTTTCCTGGTACACTTCTCATACCTGAAATGGGCGTGTTGACGGCTCACAAGTACGAGAATGCACGATGTGGGTGTGCTTGGATGATGTACAAATAATCATGCTTCAGCTACATAGAACAGAGTTGTTGGCTTTTGTACCGGTAGTTTTTGCCTGCTTTGACGGCGTTTTGGACTAGCCGTGAGGGAACCAACTGCAGATCACCCGTGCGGGCTGTGTTATGCCTACGGTGTGCGGTGCTGTGTCTAACCCACGGTGCTGGCTACTTTTTGGTACGGGCTCTCACTAACCCGCTAACCCCGTAGCGCTCGAGCTGGACCGACCTGGGGCGGACGACAGAGACGCCTGGCGGCGATCTTTGGAACCAGCCCGACTCGCTCCGAATGGCGTGCATGGGTGTCTCGGTCAGAGCCCTCGTAAGTCCGCGAGGCCTCTCTTTTTAGTCGGTTTATCGTAGCTAGCGTTGAAATGGTCGCTCTGTTTACGTTGTTTTCCCCATCTGTATAGCGAAGCTAATGAAATGGCCGGTGCAAATATGCTAAAGGTTTGAGAAGATGAAATGGTGACTTGCATGCTTTTTGTGACTCGTTAAGTTGTGGTGAGACCATAACCATTTAATACTTATGGTAACTAATGTCTTAACAACTAACCCAACCAATGCTATCTAACAACAATTTGTCGTTGTCAAGCGTCCCCAACTGTGTTGGTGACTGTGTGTTGTGTTCACTGTGGTTCTGAGGACGACCACCGACGTATGATGACCTGGACTGACCATATCTTGTTGACCTGCTGTAACCCCCGGTGACCTGAGCGACCCTCCTGCAGAGGGCCAGCTACGGTGACCTGAGCCGTCTGTCGGACGGGTCGGGTCACGACCCCGAGCCGCGGCCGGTGGCCCCTCGGCCGGCCCCGCGATCCCACAGTATCCGAGACCTGGTAAGGACGGACCTCGCCCACCCACAGACTTTACCGGGGACAGAGACAGACCGATGGCTCCTCCATTGCAGAGTGTATATTATTTTTGCAAAGACGCTTGGGAATGGGGCTTGTTGTTGCAAATTTATGATTATTTTTATCGTTTGCTTGATGCTAAGGTGCTTGCAGCCGGCGCTGTAACGATGTTGTCGTGCTTGCTGTTCTTATAACACTTTATAAGGCATTATTTTGTTACAACTACTTTGGTTTTGTCCATATGCGTGCCATTAACCGTTGTACAACGGCTTAGCATCTAATTGGCAGGTTTGCTGGTCCGTCCATTGTCCCAGCTTGTTGAAAATCACACTAACGTCTAACGTCTAACGTCGATCCCGTGCCATTGCTCGCTTGGTCTCCCGGTGCCGTCCCTCTACTAACGGTCTGCGCTGTGCTTGTCTGTGTGTCTGTCTGTCCGCGGGGCGATACAGAGTACCAGTACCACGGACCTAGCCGGCCTCCAGGCCTCGCCCGTACCGCCCTCTTGGCTTCAGACGCCCGCCGAGGCGCGGCGCCACCGGCGCGCAGAGCAGGTAGGTGGTAGCGCCAGTACCGTAATTCCTGCTTAGCTTGACGTTCCCCGTCCTGCGAGAAACTCCCCAGTCCCCAGGTCGTGAGCTGTTGATATAGCCAGTAATTTTGCCTGGAAGTGAGGTTACTTATTATAAGAAGCTTTGCTTTACTAACAATATCCCTAAATCGGCGCCTCCTTCACGTAACTTATGCATTAGCATTAAATAATATGTATGCAATTACGGACATTCATTGCTTAATACACCCCGCTCCCGGGCGGCTCCTGTGCTGCGCTGCGCCACTAACGCCGCCACTAACGCCGCCTGCCGCAGGACCATGACACGTCCCCGCCGAGCGCCCTGACCAAGAGCCGCTTCAAGTCGGAGGGTGACCTGCTGACGGCCTCGGCGGCCGGCCGGAGGTCGGCGGCCGCGCCCCCCGCCGACCGAACACTGAGAGACTCGGAGGTGTTCTCGAGAGTCTCCGTCAAGGCGCTGGTACGACGCGTCGCGACCTGACACTGACACGACAGGGCATGACCTAGACACGAACTGACACCGGACGCAGCATGACATGACCCCTGACACGACCTGATAACCGCGGCCCTGGTCTGACAGCCTGACGTGATCCGACCTGCACGGGACGTGACCTGACCTAGCTGTCATCGGATGCTGGTTGGATCTTGACCTGACCCGACGTAACCCGACTCGGTGCGGTCCGTCGTGATGTATGCCAGAGGACGGCGGCTGTCTGACTGTCATTAGTCTCTACTCTCTACTATGTTCTGTCTCGGTTCTGTGTCCTGAGATGTTACAGTAGTCGACGTTCCTCCTTAGTGTATAGCGCTGACCGGTGCCGGGATATTAGCGGCGAATGTAGGCTCTGTGTTTAACTGACTGCTAGATCGCTGAAGCTCACTAACGACCTCGGAAAGGCAGCTGCTTTGAAGTAATATCTAGCTTATCTGGCAAGCATGTTTGGGTCGATTTCAATGCCTGGCTCCTCCAGTCAGGAAGTGTGCTAGTGCCGCCCGTGTGTCAATGTGTCAGTGTCTCGGTGTGTCAGCGGCTGTGTCTGCCGCAGAGGGCCAGTTTCTGCGACCTCAGTCAGCTCCGGCCGTCCCCTCCCTCACCGGGGAGGGAGCCGAGACTCTCCCCGGCCAGGAGCGGATCCGCGCTGGTAAGACGGCGAGATGTATATTCCCCGGCCCTCGGCCTCGTCTGGTCGGTCGTCTTGCCACAGCTGTCTGTCTTACTCGGCCGTCGCCAGTGTATCTTACCCTCGGCTGAGCTGTCTTGGTGTTGTCTCGTCACCCGTCTCGCAGCTTTGTGGTATTTTCAAGGCACCGAGTATCCGTTTGCTTCCTACGCCTGTCCGCACAGCTCTTGAATCGGTTCCATCTGTGATAGTATCAGGCAGGTCGATATATTAGGTACACAGTTGCACCCAGAGATTCTGTGTATGCTTGTGGGTCTTCCAGCAGTTAATCCGTTATATTTTCTGGGTCGATTCCTCGTTCGATTTAACGACGGTAAGTAACATGCTCTGTTGACTCATCCTCTCTTAGGTGCTCAGCTGATGTCGTCGCGTCTTATTTCACCTCGTGTTCTCTAACTTCGTTCTCTCTGTTGCAGTAGTCAGAATCACGCCCACCGGCTACCCACTCTGACTGCCACGAACTCTCGTCTCACTCCCCTAAAATGTCTATCGTTTTACCCACATTTGTCGGTTGTTGTTGCTTATTTTTGTCGTGCATGTTATCGTCTTTGACCGTGCCGTTATTGTCTCTTTTGTTCGTTTTTTCCCGTCAGTTCTTAGTTTGATTGACCTGTATGTTGGCCATTTTTATATGCAGTCATATGAACGATTGGTGATGGTTTGTTTACTAACGGTTCACCTCTGATAGCGGTTAGTGGGTTTGATTCCTGGGATGCTCTGGTGGCGGGTGTTTGATTTGCTACAATTTTGCCGCGTGTGCTGCGTCGCTATTTGCAGTTTTATCTGCTTTAGTGGTCCCCCGACTCCGTTGATACGCTGTCCAACAGTAAAATCTTTGTCGCAGTCTCTGCTTCCCCCGTCCCCCTCTCCTCCTCCTTCGGTGGCCGGGATCTAACGTCTGCCGATGTGGCCGACTGTTGCAGAGGTCCAGTTTCGGCAGGGCGGAGTCGACCGACCACACCCGCATCCACGTGCGATCCTTCGACAACTCCGCCGTCATCAGCCGCTTCAACAAGGTAGGGAGGCGACGTACAGAGCCCGAGAGACACGACGTACGAAGAGACACGACTAACCGAGCCCGAGAGACGCGACGTAACGATAACCGAGCCCGAGAGACGTGTTCACCCGCACCAGTGGATAGGGAAATAAGCGTGCGGTTGTAACGGAGGAAGAAATCGACGCGGTCATTGGCGAGGGATTGTATTTTTTTCGTATTTATGGTCTACAGAAAGTAGCTACTCTTGCAGACTAAGAATGGATACGGAGAAAAGCTCAAATACAAAATGTTTCCTAAACTCGGTATGTCTTAAAATGGACATTTTAGTACTCAAAGTCGAAATGAATACCGTTCTATCGAAGTCCATCGGTAATTTGCAGATTAACATTTCAGCGTTTTACACTTCACTGCTGACGCTCGGCGCTTTCTGCGTCACAAAGTGGCTGCTATTTACTCTACCGCAGTCCTGTACTGACTGGCCCGGCGTGCACTGTGGACAGTCTAACGGTCTGATCAGAAATCGACAATCCGCTCCTTCTACCGCAAACCGTATATCAGCGTGTGTTTTACCGCCTTTCGTTCGACATAACCTGCGGTCACGGCGTCCGCTGCTGCACCCGCCCCGGGTCCCCGGGTGACGCCTGCCTCTGACACGGATAGCTGGTCCGGCCGGTCAGACTGAGCCTGTGTCACCCCGTCGAGTCAGATACGTCCCGACCAGTCTGGTCCCGTCCGGCCGGCCCGGCCGGCTGTTTTGGGGACGGCTGCAGCCACGTCGCGCACGCCGCTGTTACAGCATTCTGCAGAGGGTTTCGACAGCGGTGCTGGGGGGGGGGGCGGGGGGGAGGGGTGTTTTCGAATCGGCCTGTCGTCGCGGTTGGCTGTTGCTGTCGCTTTGCCCTTGCCTGTCCCCCCCCCCCCCCCCTCCTGCAACTCTGTGGACTGTGCTGTTGACAATGACGTGATTGTCATTGTCATTGGTGTACCAAAGCAAGTGTATTGGTTTACCAAAGCAAGATCACCAAATCCCGCTCCCGAATCACACCTACATAGCTGCGAGCGACGCTAAAAATCGGACCCTCCCCCTGTATTATGAAATTGCGTTGCCCGTGCCCTCTGTGTAACACCCCTCCCTGTCCCCTGTTTCTCAGGATGGCGGCGAATCGTCCAGCTCGGAGTGTCGCGCGTGCGGACGGAAGGCGTACCAGATGGAGAGCGTGCACGCCGAGGGCGCCGTCTGGCACAAAACCTGCTTCCGCTGCTACCAGTGCAACAAGCAACTCACGTGAGTGTCTGCCTGAGCATAACCGGGGTTTTAGCATTAAATGATATCAGCGACATCCCTTTACCGTTGTTCAGCTGGCAAAGACCGCGTTCAGCTGGCAAAGATCACCGCAGCTTACACTATCGGAGTTAAGGGACAAAGTTTTGGTATTCATATAGGCAACTCCCGTTTTCGGGTAACACCAGACTGTCCTGTTGGAATATCAGTGAAATTTTGTAGCCTTTATTCAGTCACGTCCGTGCTGTACTGATTCAGGGGTGACCGGCTCCAGGTGTGCCCGATACCACCACTGCCGACCGCTCTAACGGTCACACCGGATCCAGCACCAAACATTCCTGGCCACGGGCCGTCCGGCCAGGCCAAAAACTGGCCCCCTCGAAGTCGCTCTGAATGAATTGTTTTTGTCTACGCTCAGTCGGTGGATTTCCGTCCGCGATGTCGGAAACTAAACGGACCAAAGAGCCGTGGCATCGACTAAAACCAACTCAACATGATTAAAATTGTTGCTCCTGGGTTGAAATTATTGTTTACTTCTCACTGGTTGGAAGTATTTTTTACTTCTCAAACCGTCTGCACACTGCGCATTCAGACGTGTGCAATGTGTCTTTGCGAAGTGCTCAGTGCATTCCTTTTTTACTAACTAGCGTAATTTATGATGAACCGGTGACATTCCTCCGTGATCTGTCACGTTTTTGTATGTGTAACCCAGTCCGCCAACCGGTCCGTGTGGAACTATGTTAAGCCACGAGTCGTGAGCGTCGAGCGAGCACTCAGACTTCAGAGTCCGTGAGGAGGCTGCTCACGACAGCAGACTCAAAGCGTGCTTGTTAGCTCCCCTGTTTTATGCGACATCTGGTCACTGGTCAGTGATAATCGCGAACTTGTTTTCGCTGTGTGTCTGGCTACACCATTCCTCACCTAATGTCTCAGCACGTGTCTCACTGGGTGCCTCGTCCGATGTCTCACCGGTCTGCACCGTCTGTTTCAGTGTGGACACGTATGCCAGTCACGACGGTCGGCTCTACTGCGTGGTGCATCAGCGGCAGCTGCTGAAGACGCTGGCCGCTGCCGCTGCCGCCCCCGCCTCCGCCGCCACAGCCACCACAGCCGCTGCCGCGACCGTGGACGCCACTGACTCAGGTACGGTTCCACTTTTTCCAGTAGCATAAAAACAAATAACATTTCAGATGTCAAACAAATAGCATAAAACTCCAGCATTATATATTGTCACAGAAGCTAAACCCATACACTGTTAGTCAATATTCCATTAAATTGTGTATTATGTAAACTGCTGTTGGTAAATGGGCATAAAAATATTTATTTTAATTCAATTCGTCGCTACATCCTACTCAGAAACAATTTACAGTATGTCAACCGGTGGGAGACACAAATGTGTCGACTTCCATCGCAGACACAGCCCAAATTCCAAGTGTGAGCAGCTGACCCATCCCTCGCCCGATGGTTCCCCCATACTTGGCGTTCAAGTACGGTTACCTGGGTGTTTCTCATTGCCAGCATATGGTTGGCAATGAGAGTACGGAGGCTGAACAGTCGTAGGGCGTGGGTTCAGTCAGTCTGTCCCCCCCCCCCTATACCACCACTCCCACCGCCCACCGCGGCCCGTTCTGACCAGGTGCTGGGACCGGGTGGTGGATGGTTACGCTATGGCGGGCTGGCCTCGGCGCTAAATTGACTGAGACCGAACCCGTGGCCCGGAACCCGGCCCACCTCTGGTAAGTACAGCCCTCTGCAGACTGCGTGGTAGGTATTGTTTTTTCGACAAAACCGAGAATAACGCGAATACTATGCTATCGGGCACTCGGAAATCGCAACAGCAAGATGCAAGAGACTCCGCAGCTTAGATTGGCATTATCATCGTATGCATTTTCCATCCAGTTTGGCAACAAAACCCAAAAGTTTAGATTTGCCACCAAAACGATCTTTTACATTTTGTTGCCGCACAAGGCGTATGCTTTGTTTATTGATAGGCCCTATCGAAGGAGTGGAGCATGGCGCATCTATTTGCAGTGAGTTTCGACCGACTGATAACATGACTTTTGAATTATTATCAGTTTTGTCGGAAAAAGAATACCTACCACGCAGTGTGCTGAGGGCTGTACATACCACGGGACTTCGGGCTGACCGATAGGTTTGTCCCGGTTCTGGTGTAGAGGCGAAATTTGATCGAGAAATGTAGGTGTTGAGTGATAAAATGTTAGGTGGTGAAAGCACACCAGAATGATTTTACATACTGAAAAGTAGCTTTATTGCATTCGAAAGCAGTTCACAATCTTCTCTCGATATCATGCATGCATAAATCAAGAAACATCGTATTTCTGTCAGCTACACCTACACCTGTACCTTTTATCACCGTGTTGCTATTCGGAGACGGTAGACGGTGCGGTCAGTTCCAGTCCGCTGCCCGGGGACCACTGACCCTGCAGCAGCGGCCGGGGCGGCCTGACCCGGTCGCGCGCCAGCTCTGATCCCATCAGCTGCCGCCGTGCCGGTCCGGTCTGCCGTGCTGCCGCCGCGCCGCGCTTCCAGATTTCGACCACCGCTCCGGGGTTGTTTGCCTTTCACGGAGACCGAGTTCGAGCCGCGACGGACGGTGACAGGGCGGGGGGGGGGGGGGGGGGCAGCGACCGTGTCTGCACTGGCAGAGCGTCACGTTTGGCGACGGGAATGGTATGATATCACGTATACTGGCGATGTTGGTATGTTATGTCTGCAGTAACTGAGGAATGATAGAATGCCACGGATGCATGATATAATCTGGGTATGCAGTGGTAGGTGTGACATTTGGTGACGGGGCGAGAGGGTGACCGAATGTCACATTTTGTGTCATTGGTTGGAAGAATGTCGTATTTGGTACCATGGGATTGTAGCCCATAGGCCGTAACGTCCGGTATGGTTACTGGGTAGTGGATTGAGCCCGATAGTCACGCATGGTTGCCGACGTATGTATGTATGACCTGCCATCACATCAACTACGGACACTTACACGATGGTTTCCAATGCTAGAGACACACGACGTCAGGTAGGAGAAGGCAGGGAGCGGTGGGTGGTCTGTATAGCCGCCCCGTGAATATCCGCCCGTTAGCGGTGATTCCCGGCACGATGTCTGAAAGTCGGCCGCGGTGGCCGGGTGGTACGGGCGGCCGCTGGTTTCCTGCCCGTGACCCGGCCCCCGTCCGTCACAGGCGGGTCGCTGGCCGGGTGGGTCGGTAGGGTCACCGGGGCGGTGGGACCGTGATCCGGACTGAACTGGACAGCCGCGAGTCGTGAGTCAGTCACGGAACGGACGGTACAGCCGTGATCTTTGTCACTGACACTGTATATGGGTGCCGGGAGGCGGCGGAAACGGTCATATGAGCCTGTCTAGTTTCGCGGGAGCTCTGAACGGCAGAGCAGCCTGGTGGCGGCAGTGGTGCAATGGGTAGTTTGTCACAGTTCCTGGCTGCGATGATGCAGCGGTCATGAACCGTGGCTTGGGAAGGCCCCGGCCGAGACCAATGACTGAGAGCGTGTCGGGCTATCTCTTACCGCCGGCTTGGCATGGAACTCCCGGGTCTTAAGTTTGTAACCGAGTATGGTGCGAACTCCGAAGTAAAGACGGCCCTCATATAAGAGGGGTTAACCCTTCCTTCTTCCACCGGTATCCGTAGTGAACAGTTAAGATGCGACCGCTAGGTTCTAAGCCAAGAGAAAGGTGAACCTGTACTCAATGCTCTCTGGGTAGGGCGGAGACTAAAATTACCGACCCACCGCGTGAACTGGTGGCTCAGTTTCACCCAGATTGTCGAGAGCTGCATGCGTTCATCGCGTTTGGCAACCAGAGCGGATAGGGCGGGCGAGGTCCCGTATCTCGGCCGGGTTTCGTCTGAGAAGTGGGTGGGCACGCCTCAGTTCTGTCATGCCACACCAGCATACCACTCAGCGTGTCTTTAGAGTGGAGCAGTGCCACCTTTGGCCGAGAAAGCCGGTATGTGTGCTGTGCTGCACGCGCTAATTCACTGCACATCAACGCGTCACAATGCAAGTAGAATGCCCGGTCGGTTATTTCATTCAGAGTGATGCACACCGTGACACTGAACTACCCACTTTTGTAACGATGCTGTCATGCCTGTTATAATTTAAATTCATCATGGCTCGGCCACCGCCATGGCTCCACGTAAACTAAATGCTCCGTCGCTAAGTTGGTGCCGTTTTTGCGGCGTTTTTGTTAATTGATGTGTTATCTACACCCGTCCACAATACACACGGTAATGTGGTGACACACACACAGCTGTTCTAATGGGGCCATTAGTGACGGTGTGTGGCGTCTGTGGCGCCGCTGTGACCGCGGACACACACCTGGCAGGCACCTGACGGCTTGATCAGGTCACACAGTCAGTGTCGCAGTGGCTTTTACGGGTCAGGATCCACCAAGGCTCTACCCGGGGGTCGTTGTGGTCGGCTGGTGCCCTCCGGACTGAGCATGAGTGCTCATTGCTCACCTGCGGCTCACATCACCTGTCCCCGTACCCGGCCACTGCACTGGCCCACTGGCCGGCCACGAGCCCCCACCGGCCGTCTCACGCGGACTCGGCTTTCTCCGCGGGCGGTCCTCGACCTGCGCCCTGCCGTCGCGGGGTTGGCCGGCCGACCCGGTGACCTGGCACCCAGGAAGCGGCGACAGCGGCCGGGCTGGGTCGGCGCGCCGCTCAGCGCGGCCGCCGCATCCTTCCGCTGCCGGCCGGACGCGGCGGCGGGCTATGTGGAGCGGCGGCGGCCACCAATCAGCGCCGCCCGCGACCGGCCGGCCGCGCGGCGCGGCGCGCGCTGTCACCTGGCCGGGCGCGGGCGGCGGCGCGGCGCGGCGCCGGCGGCAGTGTGCGCCGCTCCGTGATGGTGATCGCCCGTGTCCCCGGTGTTGCAGGGCCACGAGCCGGCGGCGAGATGGTCGGAGCCGACGACGAGCGCACCGACGGACCGGCCGGCGCCCACGAGATCGTCAAATGTGAGTACCGATCGACGAGGACGGCAGTGTGGACTGTGTGCTGTGTGGAGTGTACCGGACCCGCGGGACTCAGTGCCTGGGGCAGCGGAGACTGTGGGGCTTCTGTCGGGTCCGGTCTCATAGCTCAGCCCATCGCTACACGACAATACCGTAAGCGTTTTTGACTTCAGCGAGCTCCTATCGCGAGTTTCCATCGGCGGATTGTGCGGGTTTTTCCATTTTTCTTTGTTTAGTGATCGTTCGCACGAGGTCCATTTTTGGTGCTGGTTCGCTCGTAACGACAGCCGGTTGTCACTCCGTAACGTGAGCCGTGGTGACGCCGGTGCGGCCGTGACGGTGGCGCAGCTGGTGAGTGCCGCCGGCGGCGAGGTCGGCGGTGACGCTGTGACATGACGCCGGCCGGGACGCCGCTCGCTGGGAGGCAGCTGGGGAGCGTCGGTCGGCGGCCCGGCGGCAGCTGGTGGGGCAGCTCCCGACCCCGGGGGAGCGGCGGGGAGGGGGTGACGGGGGAGGGTGCAGACGCGGCCTGCAGGGACGGCTGGGGCGCGGACCGGCAGGGGAGCCGGCACGGACCGGCCAGGGCCGCCCTGTTACCGGGCCGCCGCCGCGCTGCACGGTAGCCGGCCGGATTAACCACCGTACCCCGGCGCCGGCTGCCCGGGCCCGGCAGCTGCTGTGGTCCCAGCCGGCACGCCAGCCCTGATCCTCTCCACCAGCCGGGCCCGGCTCGGGCGGCGAAACCTCCGGCCCGACCACCGGAACGTCTCAGCGAGACCGGCGACACGGAACGAAGCGCTCCGAGACGCTCCGACCGCGAGACTTTCTACCCACTGCGCTCGATCCGTCTCCCTCACCCGGCTGTGAGCCGATAGCTGGTCCAGAAGTGGTCTTGTGGTCTCGTCAGGCGGACCAGGAGACCGTGAGTCCCCACAGCTGGTCTCATGACGCGTTCTCACGGCTCGACTGCTATGCCACCGCTTAGATCACCGCTCCGTAATGAACCCCGCCCTCCCGGAATCTCAGCAAACTCGTGTTTGTCTCTTCACTGCAGCACTCATGAGGGTAATTTCATAGCCATGACGTCAGATTCAGCAAAGCTCAGCGATTTTTACGTCCGTCCTTCGGCGCGATTCGTGTGCACTTATTTGTGCATTCAGCACTGTGCAGTTTGCAGTGTGTACTCTATGTAGTTCTCCCTATCCAGCGTGCCGTCCATGCTGCACGCTCGTAATGTGCCATATATGCCGTTAATTTTCCACAGTCCACACAGACAAAAAAAAGTATGCAGTCCGCCCGTTGTCACTGCGCGGTACCGTTTTGATATTCGTTTGTGGGGGCTGCAATGGCCGCGTCCTGCAGTGCACGTTGGTGCTAGCCAGAGCGATGGAGCAGACAGGTCATCCCAGAAAGAAGGCGTATCAGTGTAATTGATTGAGGTTATCATGACCCCCTTTACACGGTATTCATCAGTCGTGTCGATGATTCAGTAGATGTCGCGGGTTCAACGATCGTCGTGACGTATATTGATACCGTTTCTTATAAACTGCACCGGATAGAGCGCTGGAGAGCAGTCAGTAGGTCCGCAAGTTATTGACCTTTAGGCATGTCAGAGGGATTGGAGAAGAGTGACTCGTTGGCCTACTACGGGGGTGGGGGAGCCGCCGAGTGCACCCTCCCCCGACACGCGGTGGATGAGTCACCGACAGCCCTCGCCCCTCGAATATGGCGGCGGCGGCGGCGTGCTGTCATGTCTGCCCTGAACGGCGTTATATACGGCCTTATATGGACCGTCGGTAGGCCTCAGCCAGGTTCCTTGGTCCTCTATATAGAGGGACAGGGACGGGACGCCTGGCGGCCGAATGTGATATCGCCTCGCCTGGCGCTCCGTAACGGGCGTCACGGCCGGCGCCGTGTGACGGTCAGGGAGTCGCTCCGTAAAGGTGGCCGTCACGCACACCGTCACGGGTCGTGACGCAGCTCCGTGGCGGTCCGAGCGGCCCTAATGAGGTCGGCCGGGTGGTCAGCGGTCGGCCGAGGTCGGTCAGCGAACTGTGAGTGGTGTGACTGGTGACGGTGGTGTTGATGGTACTGGACACTGGTGATGTCAATGGCGGCACCGCTGTCAATGTTGGTGCCTTGTTAGTATCGTTGTAGGTATTGTCAGGCGATGCTTTTTGAATGACATTACATCGGGTCCACATTGTTCTGTGGTGGCTGCGAGCCTAAAGGTTGTATTTTATGAATAATTACACATGCTAGTCAGTGAGTCAGCTCGACTCAAGCCATGAATCGTCAGAGCTCCTACCTAGCTGATCCAGTTTCCCGGAAGGTCCTATCGCTCCACGGGTTAATCTGCGGAGAGTATGTGGGTGCCACTGCCGGCGGGCAGGTCCCGCTGACCGGGAGATGGGTCTGATTGAGCCGTCCGTCGGTCCGCCCGTCCGCCCAGCCGGCGGGTGTGGAATGCAGATGTGTGTCTGCCTCTCAGCTGACTGGCACCGACGGCGGATTGCTGATCCGGCGGCCTCTGATGGTGGATGACCGACCTCGGCTCCAGCGCTGCCGATGGAGGCCCAGATACTGTGTTATAACCAGACGGGGTGGTCCGGCCGGCTGGACGGCGACCCCACTCCGGTAAACCGCGCCGTGCAGTGTCCACCAGCTGTGACGGCCGGTCACCCCGCTCTTCCTGCAGCACCGCGCCGTGTTATAGGTATCGATGTGCGGCGGCACACCGTTCTGCCTGGCCGCATATAGGGCGAGCCGACCACCGAAGATGGGTGAGAGTCGCAGGCGACGGAGCTTCACAGATTGGGAACCGCTGAGCTGACCGACCGCAGTCCGTCCGTCCCTCCCCGGTCTCCCGAAACGCCACGGCACACTGCTGTGACGCGTGACGATCCGTCAGCCGAGGGTGACGCCGTGCCGTGACGGTCGGCGCCGGCCGGCCAACAATGGGCCGTGATAGCTGTGTGATAGCCGTCGGTCGACCACGACCCCGCGCGCCGGATGCATTATTCATCGGCGTCGGGAACAGTCATCGCGTCGCGCCGCCTCCAAGATTCTTATAGATAAGGTTGGGACGCCAGTCACGTGACATTTTCTTTCAATTGGCACCCCATGCGAAACTTTTCCCAACCCCGTGTAGCGCTCGGACGAAAAGGAATAACCTTGGTGCCGGCGCCGTTGGCGCCGTAGAGACATTTAGGATAGATGGCAATTGGCATTGCATTTAGGCAATATTTATGTGGCATTTAGGCAATATTTATGTGGCATTAGGGTATGTTGATGTGGCTCCAGATCAAGTAAAATTAACTAATACTTTGGGGGAAAATCGTGTAAAAAGCCTACAATAGGTAAGACGCCCCATGCTGATGTATTGTATTTTGTATTGTATTGTACACTGATACTGATACTGATACTGATGCTGACGCCCTTATTTATAACACAATTGTGTCCTTGCTTTTATTAACAAAAATGCTGGCGCAAGTTTGAATAGCGCAATTCAAATTATCATTCGGATGATTTAGGAGCCAAACACGTTTTTTGCCATTTCTTCAACAAATATCTGTCATAAAAATGACACTGATTCACTGCTCAGTTGTCTTTTGGATCTGAGTAGCATCAGTAAACAAGACTAGTTTATTGTTCTCCAAAAGCTGAAGCAGTTCAAAATGACTTTGATGCTTACCGATCTATTAGATGATACAAGCATTATAAAATTCACTAAATGCCCTGGCACCGAGTTTCTCAGATGTCCATACTATTTCATATGTAAAAAATGGCTCACGTAGACGTGGCTTTATTGTGATGCATTGCTGCTGATTGGGAGTAAGTAAGTACGTACCTTATACTTTGTACTATTGGTCTCAAGATAAGGGCCCAGTCGACCTGCAGTTTTGATTAGGTGAATACCCTTGCCCTCGCCACAGCTCGGGCTGAGTGTACCCCTCCTTCCACTCAGCGGCCCAGCGCCACCCCCACTCGAGTTGTGGCAAGGGCGAGGGTATTCACCACATCCATACTTAAGGTCGCCTGGGCCCTTATCTTGAGACCAATAGTACCTCGTAGGATACGAGTTGCGAGGTCTTCTTCACCTGTCTTGCTTGCTCTTTGATTGAATTTCTCTATCTTCTAGATCATCTGTGATACTGCTGATGCAATCAAGTCCTAGTAATGTTGCTCAACAAGATAATGAATGTAGGGATGTATGCACTCTGTTTGCTGTTTTGGTACAAATGCCTCTCTGGTCAATGAAAGCAGGGGTTTTCTTTGCAGTTTGTTAATTTATTGTGCAAGGCAATTTTACTTCCAAATGCCAAAGCTTTTTAAAAATGGTACTCAATCCAACGCTATTTTCCGAGGGCCATGTTACTGAATACTGACTAACCTAAATACTTGACTAGTAAGGCTCAAAACAATATTTAATGCATTATCTATGCAAACCAGACTCCACCAAGTTACAACCAAAGTGGGGCATCTTACCATACCTGTAATGTAAAATGTCCAACATCAGTTGAAAGTGTACTTAGATATGTCAGGATGACAACTTGTGGTGTTAAGTTCAATAAGGTTCAGTCAGTCTCCATCTCCAACGTACTACTTCCGAAAAAAAAACAAAAAGCGAGTACCTGTGCCATTTATTGATTACTGGGCTGCAGATGTACAGTCACCAGCACTTGCTACTAATCACCTCGTTTTTGCTCAGTAGTTTGAAGACCGATCAATTCTCAGTCGAGCAAGATACGTCAAACGATCGGTTTGGTCCTCCGATTTTCGAATATCTAACTTGTTTTTGTATGTTCGAAGCATTTTGGGATGGGGAGCCAAAAAACGTCTTTTCTGCCCTTAAGTTACCCCAAGAAGTCGTAGAACCTAGCCCCGCCTCTGATCCACAGACCACTAGTGCCATCTCTTGTCAGCCGAACAAACCGCAGAAGTAAATAATGTCACGTGACCTTTGCACACGCTACAATTACTACGCAGTTGTAGTGGGGGAAGCGGGGCGGAGGCGTGTAGAGGGACGCGATCGGTCCGGTCGGCTGGGGTCAGGTCGCCGAAGTCGGAGGTCATCCGCCGGAGGGTGTTTGGGCGGTTGAGCCGTGTGGGCTGGGGCTTGCGGAGTGGGGAGCGCCTGGACCTGTCTGGAAACAAGTTCTACAACGCTGTGGCAGTCGAGAATATTGTGAGGAGAGAGAGAGAGAGAAGAGGAGAGAGAAGAGAGAGAGAGAGAGAGAGAGAGAGAGACAGAGAGAGAGAGGAGAGAGAGAAAGAGGAGAGAAGAGAGAGAGAGAAAGAGGAGAGGAAAGCGGGAGATAGAG